AATGTGTTCATGTGTTGTTACTGTGACGCATTTTGAAAGTTCGCAATATTTTTATTTCTTGGCAGTAATCACAATATTTTCTTTCGTTTGTCTTTGTCCCGAATGTTTCGCCTTGCACAATTTTTAATAGAGTTGTTTTCGAACCAGGAAATGGAATTATTATTCGAGGCCATCGGTGACGCTAATTTTAGCGGTTGTCGAAGGGAGTGCATGACAGAGAGATTTCATCATTATATACTTTTACGAAGATGTATTAGCAGAGGTCTATACACCTGAAATTGTACATGCACGTACCCAATACTATATACATTTTCGAGGCTCAATTCAAATTATGTTTGTATCTACCCTATTCAGGCACAAAAGTACTAGACGTGGCTGGAGGTACGGGGGACATAGCATTCAGAATACTCGATCATGCCGCCGAGACGGCGGGATCAGGTTCAATTGAGGCGCAGATGTCCCCACTACCGCAAGTGGTGGTGTGTGATATCAACACGAGCATGCTGAGAGTGGGCACACAGCGTGCGCTAGACAGAGGTTACACATCAGGTGAGGCATTTGCTATCCGACGTCTGGGAGTTATGTTTGCATTAGTAGTGTGTACTATGCCGCTAGTATAATTTGCCGAGAAAGGACCTATACAGACGCACAGCGTTAGGAGGCTGGGTTGGTGGTCCTGCTAAGTGGCTTCTTGTTGTACCTGTCGGGTCCGGAGGGCACTCTTGTTACCTGTGAAATATTGTAGCTGTGCACAGACTTGCTCGGCTGAAATTACTCAACAGCAACGATCTTTGAAGAGTTGCTTAGGTTCCTGACAACCCTGTACCCTAGACACCTTGCTATGTATTAGACGCGACTCTCAGTATGTAGTCGATTGTCGGCCGTCATCATTGTTGGCCTCCGCGAATACACCCTCTCAAGGAGGGAGAACGTCATGAATACACAAACGCTTTTCAGAAACAAATGTGTTTTCAATGTCTCATAGCTCTCTCAGCTTTTGGCATTACGTATTCGTTAAACGTTTTTACGGGTTCTTCATCACTCTCTCGAACGGTTCTAAATTTCTGGTTTATACGTCGCGTCGCATGTTTTGATGTTCAGATAACCTCAACTGGGTGGCCGGCAATGCAGAGAAACTGCCTTTCGAGGACAATACGTTTGACGCATACACCATTGCCTTTGGTATCCGCAATGTCACGCACATTGACCAAGCTCTGAAAGAGGCGTACAGAGTGCTAAAGCGTGGAGGTCGATTCATGTGTCTGGAGTTCAGCCATGTAGAGAACCCCATCGTCAGCACGTAAGACATCCATTGCATGCAGTATATAATGGTTATGTGTATGTAAACATACGTATATAGGCATCTCATATGTTAATTTGTATACGCACATGCTGTTGCATGCGCTTTATTATGTCAATGTGTATGTACATATACGTATTCATGGCATCCGGTGCATGCGCTGTGATAAGCTGATGCGTAGATATACAATGAGCCTACCAAATCTCATTAAGCATCCATCGCCTGCGTGATATTTTAACTTAAAATGTGAATGTGTATGTGTACATGTACATAAATGTCTATCAATGTGAATATATGTGTTTTGATATGTTGTCTGTGTATGCGAGCTGAATCTACCTCATATGTAGTTTGTGCCATGTAAAGATGTAGTTATCCATATGTAGGTCGTGTATTGTGTGCGTGTTTTACGAATTGCCGTGTCTGTGCACGCAGGGTATGGGCTGTATCTCTGACTTATCATCCTTAATGGAGTTGGTATAATTTTTCCTATACGAACTGATTATCGGTGTGTGCGCATTAGAGAACCACCTGTCTGATTGCGCCGGATTTTCTACGCAATTCATCTATCATGTACACATCTAGTTACGTCCAAAGTACCTTTGAAGATCAAGTACAAACCTTCGTATACCCGGTCAAGCCGAACGCAGACATAATAGCCACTATATTTATTGATGAAATCCTATTGCTCGCAACTTCCGCATATCCGCCAGATTCTATGACCGGTTTTCCTTTGACATCATTCCCACCATGGGTCAGATAGTGGCCAACGACAGAGATTCGTACCAGTACTTGGTAGAGAGTATAAGGTATTCATTTGACTTGCATGAACCGCTATTTGGTTCGTTCGTAGCGAACGTGGGTGGTTGTTGTAGTGCTTGGCCGGGGATGTCACTATCCCCAAGCCATCAAGTCTGTGCATGTATGCATATATACGTATCTGTGGTAGCCTTATTTCCTAAGTGTCGTTCACGGTTGAGGGGAAACATAGCATCTGTCTGCATGCGTGATATCTAGTCGCCTGGAACCCTGTTCCTGCGTACATTTGGACTAACGAGGGATTCTTGTTGCATTAATCTCAACTCATCTCAACTCGGGGTGTTTCACTGCGAATGTTCTGCTGTGCCCGTTGTATCGTCCAAAGCCTCTGCGTGGTAACCGCTACTAGAGTATCGCCATACACTCTATCTACTGTTCGCCATTTTTTGGAGGCCTACAGTAGGTATACACACATTTTATGATATTCCTGTCCACCTCCTGTGCACATACATCGACTCGCTATATAAGCATTTTCTGTGGCGAGTGAACAATCTCTCATACAGTCGAACTTGTATATCTCTTTAGGAAATTCCCCAACCAGGAGAAGTTCGCCGGGATGATCAAGGACGCTGGCTTCAGCAATGTGACTCATGAGGATCTGACTTTTGGCGTTGCCGCGGTGCATTCAGGATTTAAGTTGTAAATAAAATGACCATAGTTCCGAAGTGCAGATGTACTACATAGTATAAAACGGTTGTGCTTGATATATAGTCTATTTAGAAATTAAAGAGCGAATTGTTCCTGACTTGCATTATAACTGTAAAGCCGATTTAAACGGGTATTGTAGTAGTCGGTGACTTTACTGTTCAACAGCAATCTAGAATGCCAACCAAATTGTAAGTTCTATCCACCGCAGGTATACGACAGTCAGGATGAGAAACTATATTTCACTTGTAGAAACGCATAAGCAATTGCAGCGGAGACTGTCATCGCTCACAGAATAGAAAGTTTCACACACATTATATCTAGTGCATGATAGGAACAGCTAGACTTTCGTGGTAGATATCTGTATGATAATAAATAGTTTCGTACTGTGGACGCAACAGCAAGTGCCAAACGGGGTCTAAAAAGTGCATCATCGCACACAAGCTTTGGCAATCACGTAATCGTTTGTCACCGTTTATTCGTGTTCCCAATGCTTAGTTTACCATGTGAACACACCGGTCTGTCAGAAAAAAGAATGAAGCTTTGCTTTACTTCGCTTTAGAGTCTTGTCTATCGTGTCTATCACTTGTCCATCAAAATACACATATATTCTTATATAGGCGTTAGGGCTGCGCATTCAACTTTATTGAAGTATACTTTGAGGCAAATTCTGAGGCTCCTGACAGTGTTTGTAGCAGTTACTCGCTATGTACTTTGACATGGCGTAGGAGATACGGTGCTTTTAAAGCACCTGGCTTCATTCGTATATATTTACATACAACACACACAACAAGCGAAGGAAGGTGTCTGATTTAGAAGGCTACGTGGAAGTCATCTATTTATTTATCTCTCTTGATGAGTAGAAAAAGCCGTTTTGCGTTTCCATAGACATTTTTCGAAAAGTTTGATGACACCGTGGCCGTAAATATTTACTTCAAATAAACACAAACATATTCACAAACATATTCACAGGCGAATTCAGATATGTGCATACAGTCGTAAGACGTAAGTGACAGATACTGTGTAGTGGTGGATAGATTGTACTACATACACCTGTGTTCTAATACCAGAGCACTCAACTGGAAGTTCAGATCTGCATTTGTTGTGTAGTGTGTGGTGATGTCCTCACGACTGCCAACGGAAGGAGAGGCGGTGCGGCAGCGCAAGCAAGCACAAACACACGCGTCGCAGCATGGAAGGCAGGAGAGCTCGGAAACGATCGAGTTGATCCCTTCCATTGCACATCCCTGCTCTAAGCAAGATATAAGCCTGCATGCGAAATCAAGTATAGCTCTGTCAAATATGAACTATAATGGTGCTTTGTCGAAGCTTACTAAAGGAGACAAGCAGAATATAGCACTGCTGGTGTGTTTGTACTTACTTCAAGGTATCCCCATAGGCCTGGCTTTTGGGTCGGTCCCGTTCCTACTCAAACAGCACCTGTCCTTTAGTGATATAGCCATCTTCAGCTTCGCACAGTATCCATATAGTCTGAAAATACTCTGGTCTCCGATTGTGGACGCAGTATACCTTGGTAATATAGGGAGGAGGAAATCATGGATCATCCCAGCACAAGTACTGTGTGGACTACTGTTCCTGACGATCGGACAGAGCATCGATACGATTATTGTTGATCCCGAGCTGGATATCTACTATTTCACATCCATTTTCGTGCTGCTCATAATATGCGCCGCCACTCAGGTATGCATCAAACTTTCTTAGGGATACTATGAATAGTATCCAAACAAACAAACACACACACATGCACA